CCACCAAAGTTAGAGGGGCTTGGGCAGTAACACACAGCATTTTAGTTCAGTAGAGAAAATCACTTACCACTGAAAAAGAAAGGTGAAAAAGGTAATAAAGATATTTTTGTACTTCTGCCCCCAGATTCCTTCTAGCCACTGAGCACCTCCTGTGTGGCTGGGTGCAGGTGTGTGCTCACAGCACTAGCACTTAAATACTAACAGGCACCAGCTGAACTGCATTAACTGTCCATACCCATAACCCTTCTGGGATGACTCCTTCTTCCACTGCGAGGCTTAGGGTATAACTTTTTGCTGTGTGAAAAGAAAAGCTTAGGGCTCTGGGCTTGTCAGGAGGCACCTCTTATCATTTCTGCAGCCACAAGATCAGCCTCTTACTGGAGAAGGCAGATAAGAGGTCAAGCATCATTTTCTATTGTGTGTCCTTCCAGAGAAACAAGAGTGAAAAATTCTGGTTTAGTGCTACTGTTGTGGCATTCACCACCCTCCCTAAAACATGGCCCTGTATCCGGGCAGGAGCTGTGACACAGGAGTGCAGCAGAGCGAAAGGAGCCTCAGCTGACAGCAGTGCCAGGCGCTCTCTAGTACATTCATCAAAAAGCAGGAAGAGGAGCCACCTTCCTCCATCAGTGGCCATGTCACAGTACACATGCAGTGGCCTGCTGCCATCCCCAGTCAGGTAAATGGTGTACCTGGCTGCAGTCCATGGGATATAGGTACAGGAGGCTCACTGGGAGAAGAGAGGGGGCAAAACTCATCAGCAGAGCAAGCCATGGAGCTGGAGGAGGCATCTCACTCCCTCAGGAAGTTCCTGTGGACAAAGGTACTGGAAGAGAAGTGCAGAAAGCAGCAGGTCCTCTATGGCCTCATACAGTGAGCAGCTGCATCAGGAGGTTGCTGCTGGCAGCTTTCTGCATTGTCTGGGAGCTGGCACATGGATGGGGTCCCCAGGGGCTGTAAGAGATAGAACCAAAGAATCCCAGAACAGTTTGGGTTGGAAGGGACCTTAAAGGCCATCTAGTTCCAATCCCCTTGTCATGGCAGGGGTGCCACTCACTAGATTAGGTTGCTCAGGGCTCCATCCAACCTGGCCTTGAACACTTCCAGGGATAGGGCAACCATAGCTTCTCTGGGTCATCTTTGCCAGTGCCTCATCACCCTCATAAGGAATTTCTTCTTAACATCTAATCTAAACCTGCTCTCTTGTCAGTTTAAAACCATTTCCACTTGTCCTGTCACTGTCTGCCCATACAAAACAACCCAGCCTTGGCTCACAGTGAGAGTGGGAAGAGGAGCCCCTTGTTTGTAAAGGTGAGAGTGTCAGAAAATAAGGACTTTACTTTCTCTGCATTTCACAATTAATCCACAATTAGCAGCCTCTGTGGGCACTGGCACAGTATGAGAGTCTCTCAAAGCAGGCTGGCATGAGATTTGTTTGATTTGCTGCCACTCTTGTATTTCCTGACCTCTGAACAACCTGGGCAGCTACCCACTGTCCTGAGGGTACTTACACCGCTGTGCCCTACCAGAACTGGGATGTGCAGAAAGATCTCCTGCGTATCATCCTCTCTCCTGCCCTCTGGCAGCTCACCAGCAGCCTTTGCCCATGCTGGTCAGCGCTGCTGGCAAGTCCTGGTAGCCAAGTGAGAGACAATCTCCACTCACACTGTCCCTCTGTGCTTCCAAGCCTCCAGATGGTGGGGCTCAGAAAGGACACCCAGCCAGGAGGCACAGCACTGGTTTGCCGTACGGTTTGCTTATGATCACAGTTTCCTAGTGCACCTGTAGGACACGAACTCCATCTGTAATCTCTAAACACAACAGCTGCAGAGCACAGGGAAAATGTAACATGCAAGGCCAATTCCTACCTGTTGAGAAGGTACTGACTGTCCTTTTGCTCTGGTGATCTCCCTTGTGGGCCTTCACAAAGACAGTGTACCTCACTCCTTGTTCCCGGCCTTCCAGCACAAACCATTGTTTGCTGGGACCCAGCTGTGCTTCCTGCCAAGTAACACAGATCAAAGGTCAACCCAGCTCTGGACAGCATTTAGCTTTCCTGGACCACAGTGCCTCATACCCCATATGAATTTACAGGCTTTTCTTGAAGGGTTCAAACTGCCCATCCTTCAAACATGGAATCCGTCTTCTCAGAAGGAAGATTTAGGGCTAAGTCTCAAAAAAAACTCATAGGACACTCTGTCCTTAATGAGTGCTGTCCTTCCAGGTAGAGAAGTGAAGAGGTAACCCTCTTTTCTGCAGCTGGATCTGTTGGGAAGAGGCATTACACTGTCACAAAGTCCTTCCACAACTTCTACTCATGACAGCAGCACATCTCCTTCCTTAAACTCTCCCTTCCTGGGTTATGGATAGCATAGATTTCTGCTCAAAATTGTTTTCCTGTGGTCCACATACCTGCAAGATCCAACTGGCAGTGCCCATAATCACAGGGGTGATTTCAGTGAGGTCTGCAGGACTGAATAATTCAAGGAATTCACTGTACCTCGCTTGTGACATCCAGACCCTGGTAGGTCAGGGAGTAGCCATCAATCTGTGCTGCAGGAAGAGCCCAGGTAACCACACCAGTAGAATGAGTCACCTCTGACACATGGAGGTTCTTGGGAGGATCAATCCCAACTGAAAAAGTCAAATCCCATTGCATAAATGAGAGACAGCAACTGCAGTGCAGGGCTTGGGCTGAGTTTCAATGCCTGAAAGTCACCCAGTAGCCTTCCTATCTAGCAAGCAGCAGAAGCCTAAACACAGCAAAGCCTACTTCAGATCTGGTTTGGGATGTTCTGTGAGCCCTGCAATTGGCTCAGCTGTACAGTGTCCAAGAGTCCCTGACATGTCTCAAGCTCATCTCTGAGGAGCACTCAGATAAAACAGGTCTCGGCTCTATGTCTCAGTCCTGGAGCACAGCCCTGATGTGGCCAGCTGAGAGCCCTTTCCCCTTTTTCCCCTACTTTAGATGAAGAATGACTTCATAGTGTTGTCAAGCTTCAGTTTTCCTTAGTGAATGCAGGAACATAAAGAAACCCAGAGCTTTACAGTTCAGTATATGCTGGATATGGGACACCAGCTCCTTCACCAGAAACAAAGGCTTAGACAGACTTTTCCTGAGCACTCAGATTGCCCAAGGTCAGCATGAGGAGAAAAACAGAATTATTTTAATGCAACATCAGTTCAGAGCAGCTGTAAGAAACCTTCTGCAAACATACCACAAGAGGGCTGCAGTGCTTTCCTGAGGATAAATGCAATTATTAAATCTCAGTTTAAAGCAACAACAATGGAAGTAGCCTGTCCCTACTTCTAAAAATGTAATTACTCTGTGTTAAATTCTGGGAGTTGGACTGGCAGTTGGAGAGCAGCACTACTGTAAGCAACCAACACAACTTTTTCCACAGGAAAGAAAGCCTGCAACCTTTGGCTCTCTGGTACAGTTGGTGGGCAGCCTGGGCACTCCACAGGCAGCAAGAGCTTTCTGTGGTGGCACCTTTTCCCTGAGAAGAATCTTCATTTGCATCAGTTTTGGGGACGTGGGAATGGCTGTTGAGGCGCAGGGCTGAAATCTGGACACAGAAATGGCGGGGTGGGGCTGACGAAAGGGGCCAGCAGCCCCGTGCCCCAGGACAGAAAGCTTCTCAGCTTTGGCTTTCAGGTGCAGTGTGTGGCACAGCCTGGGCAGTCCGTGGGCAGCCAGGGCTTTCTGTGCTGGCACCTTTTCCCTGCGAGGAATCTTTGTCCATATGGAATTCTGGCAGTGTGAGTGGATATTACAGTGCAGGGCTTTAAGAAAGAGCAGTCCTTTTCCCTCAGGTTCTCCCGCAGCCCCCCCAACCGTCTTGGTAGTGGCGAAACCTTGAAGGAGCTCCACAGGAGCCCGGTCCAGAGGCACCTCCCAGCTCTCAGGAATCGTGACAGCAACACACATGCAGGCCACAGATGCTGCTTCCTGGCTGGCACAGGGCTTGTGGCCATCTCTGAGGACCAGGTTAGTTCTTTTGTGTGGGTCAATCACCCAAGGCAAAAATACCCTCTCCCATTAAACATCCCTCCCCTTACAGCAATGCAGGGGAAAGTAAATTTCCCTGCGTGGTGTTTTAGAACAAGTAAACCTATGACAGCAGGCAAGGCAAGGGAGGTGCCTTGCAGGTAAAGCACAGCAGGTAAAGCACAGCACAGTAAGGGAGGGACAGTTAAGACAAGGGCAAGCAAGGGCAAGGCAAGAGAAGGGAGGGGGGCAAAGGAAGGCAAGAAAAGGTAGGGGCAATGCAAGAGAGGGACAAGGCAAGGCAAGGGAGGGGCAAGACAAGAATGGAGAGGGGCAAGGCGAGCTAGGGAGGGGCAGGCAAGGCATGGCAATGAAAGGAAGGGGTGGGCAACAGTAGACAACACAAAGGAGAAGTAGGAGAGGCAAGGAAAGGCATAAGAGGGGTAGGCAAGGCAAGGCAAAGGTAGGCAAAGCAAGACAAGGCAAGGGAGGCATAGCAAAGCAAGGGAAAGAGAGGGGCAAAGGAAGGGCAAAGAAGGCAATGCAAGGAAAGGAAGAGCAATGGAGAGGCAAGGGAGGGGCAAGGCAAGGTAAGACAGGGGCAGACAAGGTATGACAATGAAAGAAGGGGAGGGCAAGGGTCAGCAACACATGGGAGAAGCAGAAGAGGCAAGGAAAGCCATGGGAGGGGGTAGGCATGGCAAGGCAAGGCTTGTTGAACCAAGACAGCACAAGATGTATTTCTTTTTCAGGCTGGCTGTCTCCAATCAGAGATCTCCATGCAGAGCTGCTCGGACACAGAGGCCTTGATACAAGGGTGCATAGTTAGGGATGGTTTTCCTCCATGCCTTGGAGAGTTTTCAGACCAAGCCAGCTGAAGGCAGCAAAATTGCAACAAAACAAACTCAGCTAATAAATATGCATTAAGAGCCCTTGCACAAAGGGTTTGTGTGGACAAATACTCATAAGTGAATAGTAACAGATGATACTGTAGCCAAATCAAGAGATCATGTAAATTGTAAAGATGAGTTTATTAATTGTCTTAAAAATACATATGAGGAAACAAGAGTGGTAACACAATGCAAAAAGGCAAAAATTAGCTTCTTTCAATGCAGCAGATTAGTAAGATAAAAGAAAAAACTCTATTGGACTAACTCTGTAGCATTGCTGACATTAGTACAAACTTGTCAATTTACACAATTGACTGCTCTCAGAGGTAGAGTTGCTTTATCTTTTGGATGGATTGTTCCCACCACTCTTGCCAACGCTGAATTGCCAGCAGCTGAGCTGTGTTTTCTTCCTTGATCTGGGTGAACAGCTGCTCAAGCTTACATTTGTATTTCTGTATAACAAACAATAAAGGACACAATTGGTGGTGATGAAATATAATTTTACTCTGCCTAAATCCAGGTCCTGATCCATTGTGCCAGAAGACTGCATAGAGGCCACTTATTTTCTACCTTTGACAATAGAACTATGTGAATAATTAATTGTTCACTGTGTCCCCTCTGTGTTCCCTTTTTAAAGACGTCTGGAACTAAGCTATCAGCAATATTTAACTTTTGCTAAAATGCAAGATCTTCACCTCACTTCCATTAGCTCCTAAGATTAGAGAGTTGCCTACCCTTGAGACCCAAGCATGCATCTGCAACAGGGGATGCATTCAGGCTCTTGCCAGAACTTCTTAACTCACAAGTATGACCTGAACTACTATCAAGCTGCTAAAAAGGTATTTCATCTAAACAGAAACTTGTAGTCTACTGTGAAAACCTCAAAGGCCCTGTATTAAAGAGTCCATGCTTCAAAACATAAAATACTGTATTTTTAATGCAACACACATGCAGGAAAATATTTTTGTGGCGTGTATCCAACTGTTTGTATCCAACCAAAAAGGTTCCCTTCAAAGCTGTGCTGTAACCAGCTGCTTGGGCACTAGGACCAGATACATAAAACACTCATGCAAATTGATAGTTTTGATGACATCTGCCATTGTTGACAGTGTATTTTACATTTCCCTGTTAAATATATATATTTTTTAAAAGTTAATTCAGTTCACTAGTCCACACCAGACGCATAAATACTGATCATTTCTTTCCAAATGATTTAACATAAGAATATTCTTCTAACTGCTGAGCAAATGTTCTGCAAGTGAATATTCTTCTAACTGTTCTGCAAGTGATCATCAGTGCCAGTCAGAGGGTCAGAGGTGTCTGCAACATGTTCATTCTTCTAGCAGCCTCAGTGAAGAAAGAGTGATCACTTTTACGGTGAAAACAGTGATCTGTGTTATTTCTGGATATAAGATAGGTATGAGGTATTTTACAGCCCTTTACCTGTTATTGAAAAATCAGCCTTTGTGATCTAACTCTAAACTGTAGGCTTCAGAAAGAAAGGTGAGTGAAAGCAGCACTGGAGAGCAGCATTGGGGCAGAAGCTGCTTTTGGAACTGTGATGCTGCTGAATGCAGTGCCCTGTTTCTGACACCATCCATGCTTCTCTGCTGAAACAATTCCCCTTTGTCAGGGTTCCCTGAGAAACCAACCCTGTCTGCTTCTGACAATATCACAAAGAAACGGACACAAGACAGGACTTCTACACGTGGATAATATGGCTTTAAAATCTGAAAACACTGTGTATGTTAAAATTTACACGTAGATACGATTCTGTGGGTTTCTTCTTAAAAAACCTATCCCCCAAAGGCAGCAGCCCCACTCACAGACCCACCTGGTATGCAGCTTGTCTTGCATCCATCACTGCTAGATGGCCCAGGGTAGTCTGAGCTGTTGAAACCGTTGCAGTTCCTCTGCAAAGAACATAGGCTGGAGCTTCAGGAAGAGTAGTCTCAGGTATTCCTGGCCAAGTCCTTTAAAAAAACCAAACCAACCAACCAAAAAACACACGAGAGAGAAAATTAGAAAAGAGAGTGTATCATACTAATTAACATTACTTGTACTAAAGTGCAAAAGATCATTTTTATTTTGTTTTTAATCTCCACAAAAGCTTACCCTAAAAACTTACTTGTTTAGTACAACCACCTTTTCTTTTAAGACTTCAGGATCTCTGCACAGTGTTGAATTCTTATCTTCTGAATGACAATACACAGTATATTCATAGATCTGAAAGTGCTGAACTGATAACTAGGGGCTAGCAAATGGCATAGTAATAGCCATGACATTGTATTGTTTTACACTGCAATATGTAATTCACTTTTATTTGGATCCATTGTAATTCTTTCTTTAAAATCACCACCCACCCCAACTGCCCCATAACTAGTTCAATGACATCACTAAGAATGAGCATAGTGCAAGTGTAGAAAACCCTTCCAGAAGATTTTACTAGGAGGAGATTAGGGTTTTTCACTTAAGAAAGCTTTCCTGCCTGGAAAGAGGCATCTTTCCCAGAGACAGTTTTGGAATGTTTCTCTTCCTGCATTCCGGAGAAGCTCTCTCTGGTATGAGAAAAGATAAGTTGTCACAGACACATTTGAGGGACAGTAAAAGCCCTGAGGAGAACAGGAGGCATGTCTTTTCCCAGGCCCGGTGCAGTTTTGTGCTGATATGTTGTGTTGTCAACTTTTGAAAATAAATTCTCCTAAATCCTTCCACTGCCTGATATCTTTGGACTACCTGCATGTATTTGACCCTTAACAATAAGTATTCAGCAGCTTCATCAAGTGCAGCAAAAAAACTATGAAGACAGTGCCTGGTACCAATTTAGAGAAGAGAAATCAGACAGAACAGTGTTCAGTATCTTCAAACATTACCCCCTCCCTCGTTTGATTAACTGTTGAACTTTAGAGGTTTCTGGAGGAAGTCCACTTTGTTTCCGATGGATTAAAGTCGACATCTTCTCTCTAGCTCTTTCAGTGTCTGGAAGATAATAGAAGATCTACTCAGCAAAAACAAAACAATGGCAGAAACACGGTTGTTTTGGAGTAACTACATGCAGCTCGATGCTCTACACTTTCAAGAAACAGCTTTGTGGGCTTCATTACACAAATCTTTGCATTTAAAATATTACAGCATATAAAAGCCTCTGCTTCCTAGGGGCAGTCTGCTGCAGTCTTTGAAAAGGAAGAGAAGGCCTGAACAAGCAATTTCTTCTTTACTTACCTGCTACTTGTATGTCATCAACAGTGATGGTTTCATCTAATTCCAAGAGCAGCTTTTCAGTGAGGGCAGCCAGTGCAGAAAAAAAGCTCTGAGCACACTCAGCAGCACAGTCCTGTTGGGATATTGGAGACAAGTGAGAGAAATTCTTTTGATAATTTGATCTCCCTTTAATTTGGCCCCAAAAGAACTACACAAGTATCCAACCTTGACATTCTGCAGCAGGTGCAGATAACAGACATAAAGCTCCAAGTTGCACATAAAAGGGTCTCAAAGCATCTCTCTGCAGTATTCTTAACACTGCCTGACCATTTAAAGTTCACAAAACTGTGGAGTTCTGTGCATAGGTACCCATCAGATATATATTTGTGTTAAACCTGAGAAAAACAGCTGTCTGTAAATGCATCCTTCTTCCCAAAGCAAAGGCCATTTTGGAATTCGGGTACCTTGGGTGGAAGTGCTTTGGCCAGGTGTTATTCTAAAAGAGGGTATTTGTGTTTCTGTGTCTGTAGGCAGAGTTAAGACTAGAAGGAGCTGTTAATTTGGAATTAAAAATATATATACTCTGCAGACAGTATAGAATTTGGAGTAAGTGGCCTGAGAGAAGCAAATAAAGAGCTTTAGTGCTGGGCAACCAACCTTCAATAAACCCCTGGGGTGGAGGGGGAAAAGTGTTTTGATTCCTGAATCTCTCCTGTAAATTCTGCTTATTCCAGTACTTAATCTTGTGTGGAAAAGTGTCAATTATCTGCACTAATGAAATGCACAGAGAAGAAAGAAACCCTTTCAGGCATCTGTTGTCTGCAAATAAGAGAACTAACCAGAGGATGTCACCCCTGCAGCCAACACTCCTATCTACCATTAAGTTCACAGCCAGCATGCTCTGTGAATGATACACAAGATCAGTTAGTTCCACAATAAATCTATACATGTCTATGTGTGCATGTGTATTTATGTCAATATTGATCTAATGCTGATAACACATAACTTAAAAGTTGAACGATATGTGACCAGGATTGCCCAAAACTGAAAACATTTTCAAGTTTCCTTTAGACGGGAAGGAAAAATGTACCCAAAATGCACTCTCCTTTCCAAATGCAACATTTAAATTCACAGTAAGCAAGGGCTTTACAATTACCTGCAGCATCTTTGTGTTGAGGTGAACACCCTCAGTTTGATCTTTTTGCCTATTTATTTCCTCTTGGCACAAAGCCTCCAGCTGAAGGGAGTTGTTTGGGTGTCCCAGGGAGTAATGTAATTTTCTCCGGTGCACAGTCTTCAAGCAAATACATGAGAAAGAAATGCCTTCAGTAAATAATGTACTTTTAGTCACAATAAGGAAGAAGTAAAACATTTTATATAAAAGTATTCAGAAAGACAAAGAAAACAGAGCTACTCCGTGGCTCTCTGGAGATAAACCTTGCAGTGCAGTATGCACTAAATTGCCTCTCTGCTGGAGGACAGGGCCTGTGGTCTCACTTCAGGGTTTCTTTTCTGTAAAAAATCATCTCTCCTACCAAGTGGTAAAGAAGATACTTTTTTATAACTCTATATTTGTAATTTTTTTCCTGAATTTAACTTAATACTCAGAGCAACAAAACCTGAAGTTACTGCAGCATTTTCTGCATGATCTCCATTACGATTCTGTTCTGAGTTCTGACATTACTGGAAAAAAAATATGCCTCTTTTATGAATAATAGTAAATAATAGTATTTCATTATCCATATATCATAGTTCCTACAAAGGAGTGCAGCCATACAGTAGGAGCTGTATGGCCCTACCACAAGGTCACAGCCCTTGCAGAGTTGACAGTCCCAAGTGTAAGGGTACAGGCAGAGTTGGCAAGATAAGAAAAGAGCAGACCAGTGCTGGAAGAAGGGAGAAAAAGGACTGAATTCCAGGAAATTCAAAGCTTCCAGGAAAACTACCCAGACTAACTGCAAACACAGAAACTACACCTCAGCTCAGCAGGGACTGATGAAGCAAAGAGTGAAAATGAGAAAAAGAAAATTTTAGCAGATGCATTTAGCATTGCTTACACTGGAAGCATTCCAGTATATCCATGATAGATACCTTGATATCCTCCCACTCTCCCAGCTGTCTGTTGAAGAGGTGCTGAATCTGAGCAGTGGAAGAGCTGAGTTTCTGCTCATGTTCTCTTAAAAGACTATCCACTGCCAACTGGGAGACAGAAGAGAGCTCCTCCTCAAACCACTTCAGCTGATCCCGAAATTCTTTGGGGAAAAAACAGGGTGTGTACGTGACACAGAAGGATTAATTGCAAGGAAAAAAAAACCCACTCAGTCCAGATGAATACACACTGCAAGGAATTTTCTCTCTCAGAGATTCTGTCTCTGCCATTCCTTTTCCTAGGTCCACTGCTTTGAGAAACATACACTTGCCTAAAGATGTGACCTGTACAGGTCTTTCAACTTAGTCAAGTGCCCTTCTGCTATGATTTTTGTAGCTGAGAATACTCAGAAAAGAATATTGGCTCAAGTTCCAGTAAAATCAACTGGAGTTTTTCCACTGAGTCTGATGGCTTAAGACAACGACATTAATTCTTGGTCACTGCAATTTTCAGCTTACATATTGAAAAATTACACACACAAGAAATTAAAAGTCTTAAAGGAGTCAATTTACCTCTAAGACAGAAATTGTAGTAATCATCTGCCTGTCTTTTGTATGACAGTAGTTTCTGTCTGAGCTTTTCTGCCCAACGTTCAAAAGTCTCTGGCAGATATTTAGGTATTCCCATCTGAGGTGTCTTTTCTCCATAAAAATCCTGCAGAAGGGAACAAAAACCCAGATAAACTGTTGATAACACATTCAAATGTGTCACATCTAGGTATGTAACAGCAGGAGAAGGAAGGAAAATTATTGGATGGTCTGACAAATACTGAAAAGAACCAAATTATTTCTCTGACACAGGAGTGGACCTATGAAAGCAAAAGTGACTGAAGAACACAAGGTTTTCTTACCTCACCAAGGTCAAGCAAGGTGTTGCTACCCGTCCAGAGAATGTTCATAATAATCCCCTTAAAAGTACTGAAAACCAACAAAATTAAAAATAAATAAATAAAATACTATCACGCTGTAAAATTATCACATTGGCAATATTCACTGCTATTCAAATATTCTGTTCAGGTTAATTTTAATACATTTTTCAGAGCATACCCAAACAAATATTCAGAGTGCCTAAGATCCTTCCCCTGCATTAGCATTGGTTCTTTTCAGAAGCAGCCAGGACTTGCAGCTATTGTAAATGATCACTAGAGAGCACTGCCACATCAAAAAGCAATTCTAGCCAACTTCCTGTGCCTAAAACTTACCTTAAGAACTGACCATGCACTCTGGATAAACCAGAAATATTTGAAGGTGGGTCTAGCTGTTTACTGGAACTATTTTGAAACACAGTGGGAAATAAAATTCCCAAGTGCTTAAACATCTTAGACATTAATTTGAATAGTTTTGCATGGCACATACGAAATATCTCAGTTCTGTAGAGCTGCACAGATAGGATAATTTTCTTAGAGAAGGGGAATGGGACCTGTTTGTTCCATGTTTACTCCTATCAATGGAATATTGAGCACAAGAACGTAGTGTATAAAATGTACTGGTCTTCTCAGATGTGAAAATAATGGAAAGAGAGGCTATTTTATATTCCCCACCCTCTTCTTGTAAATGTGCAAAATGGGCTCCAATGAGACCTCCCATTTCAGACATTAAACAGAATAAAACAGATGATCTTTTATATGAACTGTTCTGGAAGCACTTTGACCAATACATATCAAGGTTAAATACCTCAAAATTCAATAGTGAACTCTATAGGTCACAATGATAGATAGATACATAGATTAGATAGACAGAGTTTTTTTTCAGATTAACTTCTTCTTCTGCAAATACACATGACTTACTCAGACTTTGGAGGCTTCTTTTCAAATATCTGGTATGTCTTGTCCTTAGGAACAGATTTGGTGCTTTTCTTTTCACTAGGAAAGAAAAACATTCATTTGATACTATCCACAAGTGTTTTCCTTCTCTGGCTGATGATGGGAGTATATGATGGACTGAAGAAAAAAAAAAAATCAGAAAAATGTAACTCTAAAACTAGTATTATGTGTGTCCTGGACAGGGTTCATTTTTGCAGTAGTCATGAGGAGGCATGGCCAGGACCTGGAGGTTATTCTGTACCACCTCCTGTGATTGCCAGGGCCAGGGAAAGGGGTATTGTCGGGGCTTTCCTTGTGGTGGGCATCACATGTGAATCCTTTGCCTCTCTTGTACACTTTGTTATTCATATTGTTGCTGTTACTGTTTGTTTTCTCACCTCATTGTCCTTGTCAGCCCACCAGGAGGGGAGGAGGAGAGGGAAGTGAGTGCTTGGACTTTTTCAGTGGGAACACTAAATAGGGGAACACCATTCCTAAATCACAACCATATGAAAATAATTTTTTGATGGAAAAAGATTCTCAGGATTCTCTTCCAAACTCTCAGCTGTTCAAAACTTTTCTGTTGTTTTCACTGTTACAGTAGCTCATTTCATTCATCTATGGACTAAGCTGAACACAAACTATTTAGATGCCACACCTGAAAATTAAGCCACACTGATTTAAAGGTTAGTCTATATTTCAACAACTTCAGAATCCAAAACAACAGCAGATGAAGGAGAAAAAGAAAAACGTTTTCCCAGCCACAATCTGGAAAAAAAACCCAAACAGACAAAACAAAGTTGATCATGGGGACACAAACAGAGATGGAAAAACAAGGCTCATTCAATAAAGCATTAAGAATCTTTCAATGAACAGGCAGGGCACAAAGTTTACTTAAAATTTCTGCATAGGAATATTTCAAGTGGAATTCCTCCTTTCAGGGGTCTCACCTTTTTTTTGCCTTCGTTTCATCCAAAGATGATTTCTTGGTGGTCTGAGCTGCACGTGCATTGGATGCCTTCTTCTTTACTGGAGGAAGAATGGTTTTTAGTTAACAAGGAAAGATGAAGAATATTGTATAAATGCCAACTGAAGTATTTTTCATATGGATATGAATTTTGTGTTCTTGTTTTCCTTACAATATGTAGGGCACAACTACAGGAACAATCATAACTGAAGGAACCCAGAAGTGGCAACAGCAATAAAGGTTATGTTCTGGGGATGCCAAAGAAAATGGAGAGATGGGAGGAGATATAAACCAACATGAAGGTAGGAGAATGTGAACAACATGAATAAGGAGAATGAGTGGGCTACATTCATAGTCTTGGCTGTGATAGGGACTTGGAAATGTGGAAGAGATAGAGGATACCTTTAAAAATGGCTGGAGAGGTCAAGCTCTCCAGAAGAGAGATGGGGAAATCAGAACACTACACAGGTAGCACCTGGGATTACCTCTGTGCTCACGTTTGAGTGGATGATAACACAATTTGAGAAGTATCCCTGATTCCCTACATATTTTCATGACCTCTCTTCCAATTCTTTTCTCTATTCCTTTTCCCTTTTGCTATCACAGAGATATTCTTCATAACACTATCTCATTCTGCAGCTTTCATTGGTTTAAGAGCCAAAAATCATCTTACTATTGCAAGGTAAAGATGTCCAAGAAAAAAATCTGGGATGCACCAGTTCTGGGACTCTCAGAACTAGCAGGGAAGCCACTGGTCTGGAACATGCTAGACTTGTGCAGTAAAATGATAGGACCTACAGTTTAGATGAACAGAATGCATTAAAAGAAATACAGATAGGCACACCTGGTCCTAATGAACGTGAGCGATCTTTTCTCTCTTGATTTAAATCTGGAGATTGTTTGGGTGGGACAAATCTAAAACAAAAAAGAAATATCCTGTTACCTTATGTTCTGTACTACATACTACATTATATAGAGACCTGGGCAAGTTCTCCATCCCTACCATGAGCTAAGTGTGGTTAAATTTCTGAGATCATATTTAACAGATAGAGTTACTTTTACAACTGACAGTACTTTAATGGGACTAACTAACTCTTTACCTGAAATTTTGGAATTTCTACAAGCAAAAATGCATTAAAATACTATTTGCAAATCAAACACTTTTCATATTCTTCACTGCACACGTTTCAGTCGACTGTGTAGCATGTAATCACCTTTTAAGGTGATCACCTTTAAGACAAAAATTAAATCACTACATCTAAACTTTATCATTCTGCTATAAAATAGATGTCACTTATTACTCAAAAGGGGGTATTTTTTGCTGTTAGAAATCTTGCTTTTAAAAAGAAATCAGTCTCAGCTAGACTGATTTTTAAAGTTAGACTGATCAGAAAGTATGAAGCAGTATTATCTACAAACAGTCTATTCAAGTTCTGGATATACAAAGTATTCTACAAAATATGAATTCAGGAAAACCTTTATACGCTTCTGGAATGTAAATTTAAAAAATACTGTTGTGAAGCCCCTTGTAGCATATCATGAGCCTCATGGAGAGAAGTGGCATATGGAGCTAAGAAAATATAAATGAAGGACAGAAAAATACCTTTAGGCAAACAAGTACTTACCCAGCTAAATTCTGGATAACACTTATTGCCAAATCATCAAGTGCTGACGTATCCATTCTGCTGGGATTTAACACGGGGAATTTTTCAGGATCCAGCCCCATTACCATCCTTTTGCTCTCATCTCTGAGGCTCTCTCTTTGAACAGCAGGAGCAATGGAATCTTGTAACAGCCCATCCATGGCAAGAGTGGGAACGTCCTCCTGAAATGGGAAGAAAAATGAAGCCGTCTTGGCTGTAGCAGGCAGTTAGTGAAAGCATTCCACAGAGTAACTGACTACTAAAGCAGATCTTCCAAACAGACACTATTTTGCTTCACAGGCTGAAATCCAATTTTTTGTCATTCTAGTAGCAATGTTATTACAGTTATACAACTCTGAAACACTTCAAAGCAGTTAAGAGTAGGTTCTCAAAATAATCAACAGTATTTAAAGGTATACCCTCAAAACAATGATCCACTGAGATTACAAAATAAAGACAGACTTTCCAGAAAAGGAAAAAAGGAAACACAACCCATTTGATAAAAACAAAATCTCTTCAGGACACATTTGATTTTTTAAAATTATTTAAAGAAATCCATTAAATATGTATCTATGAATAGTGCCTTAAAAACAAACTCAACTGAGCAACTCATTGCATTTTGTAAACTTGGTGCTGTATGCTGATTTACTCAACCTCTTAATAAAATGTCCTAATGTGTCTTGGGCAGCTTGGCACAATGCAGATTCTTTCTTCATTTGAAAATTCAAAGCACGGATCCTGAAAAACTTTTAAAGCATCTACTCAGGGAAATTCTCTCAACATTAAATAAAATATAGGGAATGCAGATACTTACATTGTCATGTGGGATCATTGCTTTTTCTAAGAAGCAGTCAAGATACTGGCTTCTCTTTTTCAGCTCTTTCAACACCTCTTTAGCAAAATCATACAACTCTTCAGAAGCTGAAGCCTTAAAGATATGGGAATACAGATGGTATTTATTAAACTAGGTATTTTGGCCTTTTCCAACATGCTGACTCTTGCAAACAACATCAGTGGCCTCTATTCAGTCACCAGATTATCTACACATACATGGAAGCAGTGAGATAGCATAGAGGTTGAGGTTTTGGTCTGGTAAAGAGGAAAAGAGGTGTGGGACCTTCCTGAGCAAAAATTCTGTGTTTCTGCCCATCCCCTAAATGTGAAAAAACACCAGTCTACCTTAAAAATATTAGTTTATGCAATCATGCACAGTGAGTCTAATAACAATTATTAACAACTCAAATTAAATACCATTTTGTGCTGTTTAGAACTTACTTCTTTATCTGCAGTAGGATGAGCACAAGCATCTCTCTTCTGCTGGAGCTTCTCCAGGTAAGACTTTAATGTCACTGACTGCAAATTGGAATTTGCTACCTAAAGCAGAAGCAGATAGTGGGGAAGTAAAATCCCCATTCAGGGGATTTTCAGAGCCTCCACTTTCAAACCACTAGAACCACTGATAAAAAAACAGGTAAAAAAATCCCCGGTACTCAGAGGAGAAGCTGAAAACAGTAATTCATAAAAGCAACACTTCATGTCCTTCACTGTACCACACAAAAATGCTGGCCAATTCAGATGCACATACTCAATGTGCTGCAGGCCCATAGTGTTCCAAGCACAGCTGCAGCAGTAAAAATAAAGTTTTAAGCTGACAGCGACAGAAAACAGGTTTTGAATTAACACAGCAAGTCACTTAATGTTTGTCCACTCTGAATTCAACCAAAATCTCTTCAATAGAATTAAAAAAAAAATAAATTATTATTATTATATGGAATTTAAGCAAAGTTCTGATGTTTCCCTTTGTACCTCTGATTTGATTTGCTGTTGTAGCCATCTCAAAGATTTCTGGACCTTCTCCATAAAGGCTCGACCCACAGAGACATCAGCAAATTTTCTTTCAGACTGCTTGATAAGTTCAGTAGCCTTTAAGAAAGCCAGAAACAAGAGACAGGACTAGGTAATTTTTTTAATTTTTAAAACTTAAATAATAGAACTCACCATTTTTATTTCTTTTTTTTTCCATCACGTCATTGCCAAAGAGAACAGTCTTACAGTTATAACTGGAAAGCAGGCTGACTGCAAATCACATATATCAACAGAAAACATAACTTGAAAGAATAAAACTCTGCATACCTGCTCCAAGGAGCTTGATTCCATTTTCTCCACATCTGTTTTGATTAAACTTTCCAGAGAGTCAATTTGCTTACTTTCTTTCTGAAGACAGCTGTTGAAAAACTTTACTTCTTCAGAAGAGAAGTCACCTCCCTCTGAAAATAATCTGAAAGCAAAAGTGGAAAGCTGTGACTCTTCTTTTTCTCCAAGACTATTTTAGCTAAGCAGCCCTCAAATGTGGATATCAACACAAATGTGATGAAAACAGCATAATAATTGCAGCTTAATGGAATATTTTTTTTAAATAGCAAACTAGATGAATAACGAAATGAACTTTAATTTTACTGTTCTGCCTATGCAGCAAACGCTGATGCCCAGAAATAGGTCACTATTTATAAACAACACTTCCATGAAATCTCTATACCTGCAAGTTTTGAGAAAATCCACATTTGAACGCTTTAGTTTCCCTAAAGCTTCCTCCAAATGGTGCTGGTAACTCCTCACAGTAACCCCAACTGATTCCAGATGATTGAGGAGCTCTGACTGCAGATTGTTCCTGGAAGGAGCTGATCTAATAGGAAATAATAAAAGACAGGGAAAACATGTCAGAAGAGGAACACACACGATGATCTGGCGACTGCTGGCTGTAAAGACATGGACAAATGTCAGAATTCAAAAGTGATTAAGTGAAGTCTGAAAGCAACCCCCTGAGCTGGGATGGTCTGACTGAACACATGGAAGGTATCAGCAATAGCTGATGCTACTGAGAGGTTTTCTTCAAAATCAATTAGCCAATTACTATTACTGTGCAGGTTCAGTAAAGTGGATAAAAATCTAAACAGGTGAAACATCTTTTCTACTTAAAGACTGCCAGCACTTTGAAAAGAGATGAAAAATTCCACATGTTCAGCCCTGATTTTAATTTTTCCAGGGAGAGAGAATGAAATTCTTTACATCTTTTCCAGTTTCATAAAGTACTCCTCACTGAAGATTAATGATGTATAAAACAGGTTCAGAATGCAAACCAGAAACATCTCAGACAGCAATCAGGAGTATTTAACAAGGGAGACTTCCAGCCAGAAACACCTGTGGCACACTTACTGCTCAGTCATAGGAGCGTGGAGGAAGTCATACTCCAAGTTACGGATTCGGGAGCCGAAGTTTTTGTTGAGGTTATTTAACTGATCCAAAAATTTGTGAAATTCAGCTTTCTCCTTTTTCAGGCCTTCTTCCAGCCCCTCACAGTGGCACTCGAGACGCTCTTTGTGAAGTGACAGTTCCCCTGAGAAGAAAAGAAGTTTTCCAGTATGGATATTATTCCCTGTTTGCTGTGGACTACCACAGTGCCCAGTCAACCTACGACCAACAGCAGCAGCAAAATAAACAGAACCAGACCTCACAGTAACTAAACCATACAAATCAACCACATTCCATTTGGTTTCTTTGGCTTTCCTTCTGTGTTAAACATATATCCTTAGCAGCTCCTAATCCATTCCAAACACAAATGTCTCTTGTTTGCTCGAAACATTCTTTTTCCTTTATTTCTGGTCATTGCTACATCTTCATTATATCTCTGTTCTCAGTCTTGTAACAAAAGTAAAGTGTTTTTTGTTTTTTTTTTTAATGGAAAATACACTTCTCCCTGGTTTTGTGAGGGGAAAAAACTTCAGTTTTGGTCTCCCTTCTGGAATGATAGTTGGATAAATCAAGAGCTGGCCAATTGCCTCAATAAAGCAGCCAGAAAAAGCACCTGTCCTCTTTGCAGAAAAAGGGAAATTGAAAAATTGTTTGCCTGTTCTCCCAGGAGAGATTTTTTTACTTTATATGTTAAAGACCAACAAACCTGTCTAAAGTACTTTTTTCTCACCATAAAACCCAGACAATTCTCACGCGAAAAAGGTTTTGATTAGTGGCTGCTCTGTAGTTGCTCAGTGATATTTCACAGAGCTAAATCCTTCCTCTCCTGTTCTCAGAAGCCTGGTCTGAAAGCCTGGTCAGCTCTCTCAACTTGGTTAATTCTTTCTCTGCAACACCTATAAAATTATTTTTTTTTTATACAATAAAAACTCCTGTTAAATAATTTCAAGGCGAATGAGAATTCACAAACGTTGACAATACAGTGTTCTACGTCTCCCACAATGCAGTTGTTGATCAAGGCACCACTGTCTTATTTTTCCAAACATAACACAGAGGTGTAGAAATGTCATTCTGAAAATAGATGAGCAACATATTGCACTGGGAATTTGTACACACTCAACTGCTTCCTTGCTCAGTCGTCCCTTACAACTGAGTCAAGTAATGCTGAAATAGTTTTGGCCCACTTATGATCACCTCTAAAAAAAGTCAGTAAAAAAAAAAATCAGTACCAGCTCTAACATCGTAGATATTTGTCTGTATCTCCTCCTGCTTTTGTTGATGCAACTGATGATGCAGCAGAAGTATTGAATTCAGCTCCTCTTCCTTGGCAGCCACGAAGACCCGGGATTTGGACAAGGATTCTGCAAACCATTTCTCCAAGTGTTCAAAAAAGCAGAGGCGAATCCTACGATTGAAAAAGAAATACTACAGCGAGGAACAGTAAATAATAAATGAGAATTTACTAAATACATTAATTCTAAGAATTTCACTTCTGACTACAGGAAGATATGCTTTCAGTACCATTTGCACAATACTGGTCAAGTTTTTGAGCTAGCTGCCTACTACTGAGTACCAGGCATTTTACCTTCATGGCTCTGCAGGGAATTTGGGAATTTTACTTGTCTTTCTGTAATCTGTTTTCTCACTTAATAAATTTCCATAAAATATGAATGTTCTGTAAAGGTAAACGCTTTTGTGGTACTTTGAAAGGATGGCTACAAAGCAATATAAACATCTTCTTATGTTTGTATCGATTTAAAAAAGAGGAATGACATAATAATTATACAATTACAATTTTATAATTAAAATATCCAACTATATACTAATAATTAGCTAATTTTTGCCTCTTCAGTATAATGTTTCTTCTAAAGAGCTGAAATTTGTCTATTACGTAAAGAAGCTGTTTTCTACTCACTTTTTCTTCAGCTTGACAAACACGGTTTCTTTGAGAAGCACATATTTCAGGTACACAGGAAGTGATTCTTCCTTTTCATATTTTGTAAAATAATTCTCCGTGATGTCAGTCTTTCCTGCCTCTTCAACTCCAAGGGCAGTGTAAATGTTTCCACTAGCAGTGGAAAATATTTCCATGGCCTTTTCAGCACTTTCTGCCTTGCTGCTATTGGACACTGCCTAGTGAACAGTTGGAAATCATCACCTGCTACCTTTAAAGGTATCAGCATGGAATCAACACAGCACAAGCTAATGTAAGAATCCTAAGGATATTTAGAATAACATTCTCATTCTTAATTTGGACAACACTTATACAGTTTCAGCAATATTTATATATTTATATATGCTGGGAAGGCTCAGTAGGCAAAGTCACCTATGTTTTAGATGGGTTTTGATATGTTAATAAATTAATGGAATTAAAGACCTGAAAAAACAATACTTAGGTACAAATACAGCTTAAAGCATTCACCATGGCTTAAGAACACTGTGATGAAAGAAAGACAGATTAAAAAAAAAAAACTATGCAAAGAGTTTTTACAAAGGTAAAAGCAGTGCTTGTAAATGGTTTTATACACTCTATTTGTCCATAAAAAGGATCTAAATCCCTATGGGCTTTGACAAACTAAGCAAACAAAGACTTTCTATTCATCCTCAGCAAAAAGACTTCCTATTCCTCCTTATTTTGGGCAAGACTGCCTTCACCTTCAAATTTATTCTCTTGTTCACTTAATCTCTGTAACACTTACCCCTTGTTCTGCATGTTCAGTGTCTTCACTTTTATGAGGAATGCTCTCTCCATCCTCCTCTGTTTCTTCAGTTTCCTGTGCCAAGCTCTCCTCATGCTCAGCTGGGTTTGTTTCTCCATCTGATCGGGGAAAAAACATCAGTTTTGGTCTCCCTTCTGGAATGATAGTTGGATAAATCAAGAGCCAGCCAATTGCCTCAATAAAGCAGCCAGAAAAAGCACCTGTCCTCTTTGCAGAAAAAGGGAAATTGAAAAATTGCTCTGCTCTCTTCTCTCTGCTCTCTGCTGGTGCACCTCAAGTCCTGGAGGCAATTTTGGATGCCACAACGGAAGAAAGATCTAAACCTTTTAGGGAGCGTTCAAAGGAGAGAGGCACAGATGGTGAAGGGACTGGAGGGGAAGCCTTGTGAGGAATGGCTGAGGTAATTTGGCTTGTTCAGCTGGAGGAGACTGAGGTCAGAGCTCACTGGGGTCTGCAGCTCCCGAGGGGTGGTGGAAGGGCAGCTCCCATCTCTGCTCCGGGTGAGCAGGGACAGGGCCCGAGGGAATGGCTGGAACTATGTCAGAGGAAGTTTAGCTGGATCTCAGGAAAAGGTTCTTCCCCTAGAGGGTGGCTGGGCACTGAAGAGGCTCCTCAGGGCAGTGGTCACAGCCCCAAGGCTGCCAGAGCTCAAGGACCATTTGGACAATGCTCTCAGGCACATGGGGTTGTTGTGGTGTCTGTGCAGGGCCAGGAGTTTGGACTTGGATGATCCTTGTGGGTCACTTCCAACTCAGGATATTCTACAACTTCCTCTCTTTCATTTTCTTGCCTCAACTAGTCATTTACAGTTAAAGCACAGTTCTACTGGTTGCAATCCAAAGAGATACAGATTGAAAAAAAAGCAAGCAAAAATACCTGTTTGTACCATTGAGGTATTACTTTGATCTTGAACCATGGAGGCCAGCTCACCTTGCAAGTTCTAAAAGCAAAACAACAAAAAAAACACCCCATACCATTTGAAAATACAGATTTACCTCTTAGTAAGAAATCCACATCCCTTCTCAAAATATATCTATGTCAGTCAGTTATGATAGTCTTGAATGGATCACTTATTGTCTAAAGAACCTGTGACACTCAAATTCACTAATATAAGTTTGTTACCTTGCAGTTTTCTGTTTAAAAGGCAAATGAATTTGCTGAAATGCAGTCTGTAACAAGATTTTAACCAGATAAAATTTTCTTTTTACCTGTTTGAATATTTCCTTCACATTAAAATGCTGGCTGATGGATATGCTGTAAGAAATCAACTCCTGCAAAATAGCTCCTGGGTAAGCCATTACTTCATCCATTACAATTTGGTTGAGTGTCTCATTCCTGTCAAATTTAAGGTCACTGTTTAAGAGATTCAATAATGTATAAAAATAAAATAAATTTGACTACAGTGCCTTTAAATCCAAATCTGTCTCACCAATCTCATAAAACCTTTAGGCTAAATGTTGCACTTGATATGTTTATACCAAATACAATCACATCTTGGCTTATTAGTAGAGATTAGTCCATTACAAATATACAAATGTACGAAAATTAAGAAATATTCACAATAAAGCCTTTCACATCTTTCCTTTTGGACGGGAAATCATTCAAAATCTGTGCTTATGTAAGGAATATTAAAAATGAGAGGTCAAATTACTGTCCTCCATATTTGTTCTGTACTGGTGCTCAGCTTTGAACGAGCCTGTCACAGGAGACTGCAAAGCTTCCCCACCCCAAGGGAGGTGATTAGCATCTCCTTAATGTATATTAATCCACTGGACTCTAAGTTTTGTGGGACTCTCACCACTGAGAAGACCAGAAGAACAGGACCTATGGGATGCTGCCGGGTTTCATGGACTGGTGATACATTTTCTATTTTAATCTCTCTCTGTCACCCTCTTTCTCCCCCGTCCTTTTTCCTATTTCTTTCTATCTCTCTGCCTCACATTTACTGTTAAATAAAACCCATACTATTGACTAACTCTTGTTTGCACCTTGATTCTGGCAGAGGCATTTCTAATAATCTTAATAACCGGATCATAACAATAGGTTACATTGCCTTTCTGCAACCTCACATTGTATTTTAACTTGTTCCATTACCTCTGTTTTTTTTTTAAATCGTTCTAAGGAGCATTAAGAGCACCAACTCCAGAGCTCTGACCACAATCCCACTGGGAGGTGTGTGAAGGTCCACATCACTCGACCTCCTGGGTGTGAGAATAGAGCTGCTTCCTCTCAGCCTGTTTAATCCTCACACCTGCTGCTGAGCATGGTATGTGTCAGTTTTTATAATGACTTTTATAGCTGCAAAGGCCTAATCATGAAACAGGTCACAGAAATATTACCAAAATAAATATTTTGGCTATCTGAAAGTTCTTAGCGAATTCTAGTCCTTGCAACTTCCAACAAGATCAAACCTGAGACAGCAGGTGATGGTGCAGACCAATTTCTGATTCCTGTGAGTCAAGAATCTGAACTACTACTTTTAACTTCTGAATAAGGCATGGACAAGGCACAACAATACTCATGTGGTGTAGTTTTTGAGTGATACCAGTCTTCCTTGGTCCTGCTCATAAACTATAAGTATTATTTGCCTTAACCTTGTTCAGTATGTACATTATTTCATTTTACAGTCTTACATGAAGTAGCAAGCAGTGTTTTTCCACATCTTTGCAATACAGCATAAACAAGGTCTAAGTAGTACAACCAACATTAAAGTATGCTTTATTTTTTAAGTTTACACTAAAAAAATTCATACCTAGTTCTAATATGATCTAAAGAAGAAAGGGCCTTCTCCATATAATTCTTCAGCTCTTCTTCACAGCTTGCCATTTTCATTTTTTCCAAAATTATATCCAGATCAACTTTCATCGTCTAAGGCCACACAGAAAACACAAGTAAAAATCATTTAGTATATACTAAAATCTCCATAACTATTTAGGATTCAAGTAATTTGAATTCAAGTTTATGTATGTATATTTTACAACAAGAAGGGAAGCTACCTTAGTAAAACTCATTGCCTATGAAGACCTTTCCTACATAATTAACATTTCTGACACTGTCACCCTAAGTTGCTTGTTATAACTATGAGAAGTTGACATCCAATCAGACTTTGTACCTGCACAAGATTTTATGATAGTAACTTGCAGTCTCTTTATAATGAAAATATAATCTTTACCACTGCTGCCATATCAAGAATATGATATGACTGCCCACTCAGTGTGAATCAAGCAGTTAGCAAAGATGTACCTGACAGAATGGAACTGACACGTAGAAATTCCAGCATTAAAGTCAAAGATTAAATTTTTCATTTTATTTTGAACTCCAGAGGGCTCTTTGCATTAAGAAGCCCTTTCTTTAGATCATACCACATCCTTGATTTATGTCTGTACCTGTATAATGCTATCCTGTTCCCATCTGCATTCATCTACTTTCTTCTGAAGTTCACTTTCCTGCTGGGACAGTCGGAGTTTATGGACATCCCAGAGGGCCATGGCCTCCTGAAAATAGCTGTACAAGCCTTGACAATGCTGCTCATGCTGTTTAGCCATCTCCTTAAAGTCTCCCTAAAGAAAAACATTTAAGTGACTAAGTTATTTTTAAACTGCTGGAAGGTGAAATGAAGGAATAAGAGGATATGTAACGTGACAAAAGGCTGCCTGGAAGTACACTGTCAGTATTCAACACAGTGAGAGGAAAAAAACCATCCAAGTAAACTGGATAAAAAAAAACGTGGATTTTTATTCTACAAGCTGAGAGTATCAAAACTTCTGTTTATTCTTCTGATACTGTAAAGCACAGAATCACCAAGTTCTGCCATCTATCATTTTAGGAACGACTGCCCAGTCATTTTCTTGTAGAGAATAATAAAAGATGAGACCGAAAGAAATTTGGGAGATCATTTAAGGCAGGTTGGGCTTTACAAAATTCATCCCTGACATATATATGTATATTACAAATATAAATTATGATATAAATATATTTATTTTACAAATGTAAACCAAATCATTACGAACTCTTCCCCTTGAATCACACCAAGCTTCTTTTCTTTGTGGTGTTCACTCACACTGTGGATCTCATTCTAGAGTGACATCAAGAGCCTCAGATGCAGATGGCACTGCAGGTGGGAGGGCAGGAAGAACAGACTAATACCAGGGAGTAGTAAAAATATATGTGATGAACGTAAAAATATATGTGATGAACGTACATCCATATGCTCCAGTTCTTCTTCAAACCTACGTTCTAGTTTCTCAGTCATGTGAAGCATGTCAGAGTGCACAATTTCAACATCTTTTACTGTGCAAACATTCATATCCAACAGGCTCATCTAAACAAAAAAATGATGAGTTATTGACATGCATATAACAAATACTGTGTGGCTTTTAGTGAGTATGGGTTAAAAACTTCTGGTGTTTCTTCTTGTGAGGGACAGAGAAAGATTCAACCCCCCAGATCTCACATTCTGTAAACAGTACAATTCTACTGGAGGCAAGGAAAGAAACTGAGTCAGAGAGGGGGAATTTCTCTCCCAAAATAAGACACTTAGCACAAAGGCTGAGTGTCCTTGCATCCTCCACATAAATGTAGGACAGTACTTCCTTCATTACTGCCATTTGTTACGGCTCTTACACATTTCGAGTACAAACACCACAGCAACTTCTCTAATGGAATAAGACAGAGGTTAAAAAGTAATTTCACTTGTTATCTCAATGTCTGGTGGATCCTCAAACATTTTTTACTGTAGTGACACTGTACCATCAACAATCCTTCCAGGAAGTCCCAAAGCTCACCTTGCAGACCTGCACTTGTTCCTGACATTTGCCCAGGACCAGCTCATACTTGCTGCGCATTTTCTTCACGCACTCTGCATTGTGGGTGTCTGAAGAACATGGAGCAGACCACAGTCAGGATTCCTGTATTTCCCAGGGCAGTGTGAAATGGAAATATGACAGGAGCCCTGTGCTGAATCTCAGCACAGGAACAGATCCCAGCGGGTCTGCACTGCACACTTGTGCGACACAACCGATCAATTATAGAAGATTTTTTTATACAAATCTGTTTATCATTGTGCTTAAAAGCAGCAAGTTATTTACAATTGCTACCAACTTCTTTGCTACTACACAGGCTACAAATATCACGACAGGATGTGCTCTGGAGTAAAAGAAGGCAGACACACAGAGGGAGGGCACTTTATAGGACTCAGAGAGAGGCAACATCTCCAACACTTTTCCTCTCCTTCTCCAACAGGTAAAAAGGAGTATTTTTGTACAACTAAGAACTGCTCCATGTCAAAATTAACCTTCTGTCTCCCCCAGATTAATTCTAACCAAGACAGTTCCTGCTAGATCTCACCATGCCACAAGTGCCTGTGCTGGCCAAAGGGAGGTGACGCCCCAGAAAACTTCTTTGGGTCCTACTGACAGCTCAAAGCAACTGAGAAGGTATGTGAAAACACATGGAACAAAGAAAAGGGCAAACATGCACTTTCAAAGCAACTGCCTGCTTCATTGCTGCCTGGAAAAAAAAAAGGAAGAATTGCCTGAATTCCAGATTGTTTTTATGATTTCTCAACTTACCTAAACTTTGGTTTAAACTCTCCAAAGTTCTGTACCATTCATTTATCTCAGATTTCATGTCTGTTGGAGGCAACAAGGTGCTATCAAAATAGGAGACAAGAGTCAAGTGTCTTAACATATAAACCAGTCAGTTGTTAAAAGATAAAATTATGAATCAGAGTTTCCATGCACTTTATTTTATTTACTGCCATCTCAGCAATGAAAATAAACCAAGGAGACTGCTGTTGTTCAAGGCCACTGAACAACTGACTGACAAGGAACTAACTTGTTCCTACATTCATTCTAAAAGAAAAGCTGTAAATGTTGTAATGCCTTGCATCCAAAAATGCTTGTTGTCAGGATGGATATTCAAACATAGACAGATTTCTATCCAGATTCTTCCCTAATTTATTACACAAATGAAATCCTGTGCAGAAACAATGGCTTGACTAAAGCACCAACTTGTAGTTCTCTACCCGTCCTTGTCTGCTCATTTATACCATGCTTCAAATATTAGTTAAGATTTACTTTTGTACTCCTGCATTTCTAGCTCTCCATCATCCCCTATTTAGTGTAGTTGGTGCACTGAAAACCAAGAATGCATTTTTTTCCATTAAAAAGAGCTTTACCAAAAAAAAGTTTAGGACCTGCCTGCTTCTGAACTCTACAATCACACACTGACAGAAAGCAAAGTGCATTTTGTAGCCAAGTCCCCTATTAACTCCAGAAAGAATTCTGTTTCTCTTTTGCCATACCCAATGTGCTGCAAAACCCCCAGTCTCCTCTCACTGAGTACAGTCTGCTCCTTTATCATATTTTCCATTTCTGTTTTCACAGCTGGAGGATTCTGTATTTCTTCACTTGCCATAAATTCTCTGTAGGATGGAAAAAATGATGTGTATAGTGGAAATGTGATATATGTGCTATCCCATGTGATATGTATCATATGTTTAATGAAAAAAATGATAAAACATTACTGTTTATAGAAAACACAACTGAACAGTAATCACTTTGTGTTATTCATTCTCCAAAATATGATTGTAAAATCTCTGACCTGAAACTCTGAATTACACGGTTCTTTTGGATGAGCTTCCAGTCCTTGACTCTCTCTTGCCATTTCAATTTATGTGATTTTTCCTTCTCAAGCTCTGATTTCATTAGATTAAAGAGCAGCTTGGCAGTTGCCCTCTCATTACCCAACAGGGCTCGGTTTATATTCTGCATATTAAAAAAATAAAATCAGGAGTATTTTATCAGCATACAACATAAAAAACCCCACATAAATTGTCTCTTCTGTGTAAAAGGAGGGAGAAAAGAATACAAATGATAAAGAATATTCTGCAAAAGAGAAACTTCTTTTATATGTCAGTGATTGATAAGTAGAAAAAATGAATTTCAACTGGGAAAAAAAAAAAAGAAATTCTGGGAACATTCAGATTGCTATCTTGCCCCAGACAAAACATTTACCGTGGCCTCCTCATTGATGAGCTTGTGAACATCAGCTGCCAAGAAGAAGGAAATTTCCTCCAGTTTCACTGTATACTTTTTCAGTATATTTGCTATCTGTGCAACAAAAGAATAAAAAAAAGCATCAACTAAAAAAGTGTAACTCAGATGTCAGTTTCCCAAGTTATAAAATTACATGAACAAAACAATTTTTTTCCATTAAAATAAATTCAGTTGGTTGATAGACAGATTGAGAAATACACCTTAAAATATTAATCTTAAATATAACAAAGACTGATTTTTTAAAATCATTCATTAAAAAGTAAGTAAAACTTTCCACTTTGTTACTACTCATTTGTTTTTTCTTTCATATCTGTGAAAACTGAGCACTCTGCAGACAAGCTGCCATACGAATTAAAAAAAAAAAAAACACACCAGCTTCCTTTCAAATATCTGGAGTGAATCCACCAGTGCCTGTTTTAAGGAAAAACAAAATTTAAGGAAGTGTCACCATCTCTGGTCTTTTTCATAACCAAACAAACATCAATAAAAAAGTTACTGGTGATACTCTTGGACCTACTCACTATGTCTGCATTACAAAGAGGACAAACTGGCACAGGTAGAACAAACAGCCTTTCTTTGCCTCCAAGAACAAGGCAGCAAGGAGCTCCTTAAGGGGTATCTATTATTTATCCAAACATTTACTGTGTTATCCAATGACTTTTACAAGTCAGCCTAAAACCTACACAACTGCAACACAACTCCTGCTGATACCCAGGCTACCCAAACTAAAATTGAGCTAGGTCATGCCTGTGGTCTTTCTCAGCTGGCCCCAAAAAATAACAGAGCAGGTGACAGTTCGACCTAAAAAAACCCTTGCATGAAAATAAAAGCAGCTCACCTCTAGTACAGATAATTGTGCAAGAAAGAAACACCTTGAAACTGAAAAAAAAAAGTATTTTCTTCTGATTATGCAGGTATAAAATGATTGAATGGTCTACTGGTGAAAGGAAAGCAATCACCACACAACAGAATCACTGGCAGATCTCTGACTCCTATGGAAACAAGCTACTCTTTGCTCTGCATTATCAGCAAATAATAATCTTATCCTTAAGTAACAGTTATAAAGGCTGCATCTCACTTTAGAGGCTCGACTCCTTTCAATCTTCTTTAGGGATTCATCCATTGTCCTAATCCACTTCTTTCTGTTCAAGGATTCCTGGTGAATCATATTCCACAGTTTTTCCAAACCCTGCAATAAGAAATTAGTCTCAATCTCTTTGAAAAGTAAATGCAAAAAAAAAAAAAAAACAACTTAAAAAACCCAAAACAAATCTTAAGACTCCAGTGAGCCTCGAGAACCTGTTACACAGAGCAGGTACAAATAACTGAAGGTGAGCCAATGCTGTGAGCTGCCTTACTTCAAAGGAGAAACCTTCTAGAGCCGTGTCAGACACAATCTTTTCGAACAGAAGTTCACTTTTTTCATCGGATTTCATCACTTTTAGTTGAAGGAATTTTTGAAGCTCCGAAACAGAGGCTTCCACCTCCTAAAAAGAGAAGGAACTCAGTGTGATCACTTGAATATTGGGCCCTGACCTTAGAATAGCACTCTAGGCTACCTGGATTAAAAAATCCTGCCTTACTTTGCCAATGTAGTCCAGCTCCTGCTGCATTTTGGTCACTGCTCGATCGTGACGCTTTTGCCGTCGTTCTGCCACACATTTCAAGGTCTCGCTGCTTTTTTCCTCAGGAACTGCCAAGAAAGAGATGAGGATGATGGAGCCTGGAACTCTTGCTGCAGAACATGGGATGCACGAGGAAGAAATCCCTAAATCCACACTGTGACTGCTGCAGTTTGTGCAGCTCTTACACTGTGCAGCACGGGAGGGGAAATCTTTGCAAACGGAGGTTAAAAATACTTGAGCGTATTTTAAAACATCTCTTATTAACTTGTGATTTTTCAGGATAAAAGCATGGAAGCTATCAACTAAAGCTCAGGTACGATGCAAAAGAGTTGCATCATTTCAAGAATGAGATCTGCTTACATCAGAACTGGAATTTATCATCCAAACATAAGCTGTGATTGACTGACAATTTCACAACCATTTTTTTTTTTCTAGGAGGAGACTCTTCACCTTCAAAATTACCTACAAATCATCAAAAACGTGCCAGGTCATTTCTGAGCTTGATTTTATACCTTGTTCAGCTAAAACTGCTGCATGTATAGTGTCTCCTATGAATGCAAATTTAAATAGCTTACATTAAGGGAAAACAATTTTACCAACTATATCAGGTAGGCCTCTGACTTCCTCAGCTGAACTTGTATCTACATTTCTCCAGGCCTTTGGAGATGTTGTAGGTTCTCTGAAAAAAGAAGAGAATAAAGCTTTGATTTGTATTAAATGTGTAAGAAGAGGGACTAGCATAACAGTATAATATTCACTTTAATTGGTAAAATGCAACATTTAAGTGAACAGAAGTATTGTTTTAACTACAAAGAATATGATTCAAAGAATCAACATCGCTTCTTCTGACATGAACTGAACTGAGTAATTATCCAGTGTGGTTTGACCCCAACTTCAAATCTGTTATGATGGCATTAAAGCAATACATGCTAGATTTAGTGCATGCAAACTATGAACACAAACATACTATCCCTAAAAGGTATAAGAGTCTATGAAACCTCAAGGAGGAACTAGCAAGAAATGTGAAAATAGCCTTTATCTGCCCACTGCTCTTCTCATCAGCTTGGGCACTGTGTTTCTCCTTGGGGGTCAGTGAGAATCCAGGAGAATTCAGCAGCAGGGTTAGGGTAAAAAGGATGGATGCATTAACTGCTTTCTTGTTCATTACACAATCTTACTGCATCATCATCACCATCATCATGCAAATCATCAACATACTTTGAAATATAGTTCAAAAAGATGTGTCAGACTGCTTTGAGCGAAGAAGACAGGCAATTTCTTTCGCAAAGGGAAGCCACACAGCATGCCTGCCATTGCAAATATCAGCCTGTTAGCCTGCACTTTAACAGGCAGCAGCTCATTATACTAAATTTACATCGAGCAAGGAGACACTCTATTGCAAGTCATTAGTGCCATGACCAAGAATTCAGAAATTTCTTGCTCCCAGTGCAAATCTTACAACTTCATTCCTATAGTCATGAACATATAATTGGGGGTTTATGCTTCTGTTCTCTACCTGTCTGATTGTGCCTTTTTTGTGGAGTCATTGATGGGCATTTTTCCATCACACTTCTGCTGATAACAGGGTAGTAGCACGGCATCAGCAGGCATTTCTGAATGCCTATCCGAAGTGAGCATTTTACTCTTCTTAGAAGACCTACTCTTCTTCTTTCTTTCATTCAAAAGGTGTGCTAAGTGAGCCTTCAAAGAACCATAAACACAACAGTTAGAATTCCTTCCAGTCTCCTGAATGGAGAACAGTGACAAAACAGTTCATAAAAATTGTGGGGGAAGGGTGGCAGAAGAAAAAAGCAAAAAAAAAAGGAACCCTACTTGGCACGTGCATAACCAGCTAAGGCTATTTTAATCTAAAGTTATTTTCAATAAGGGAAAAAAAGGTTAACGTTTTCCTCAGAGAGGAAAAGTGGAGCCAACTGGATTGTGTGCCTTGCTTACAGCTACCAGGAAAGTCAACAGGAGAGTGAGAAATGCCTGAATCTGGCTGTGACTCTTAACAGGTTTTACTGCTGTGTTATAATGATGCTGCCTTCAGTTAATATACTCTGATACACAGTGAAGAGATGAGAACACATGGAGATGCATTAGAGAGCATATGCTGGAGATAACACAATTATTTTCTACTCAAACAAACCAAACCTAGAAAGGTCGATCCCGGGTGTCGCTTCCGGGTGTCAGTCCCGGCCGATCCCGGCTCTCGGGGCCGATCCCGGGTGTCAGTCCCGGACGATCCCGGCTCCCGGGGCCGATCCCGGGTGTCGCTCCCGGACGATCCCGGGGCCGATCCCGGGTGTCAGTCCCGGAGGATCCCGGCTCCCGGGGCCGATCCCGGGTGTCAGTCCCGGACGATCCCGGCTCTCGGGGCCGATCCCGGGTGTCAGTCCCGGACGATCCCGGCTCCCGGGGCCGATCCCGGGTGTCGCTCCCGGACGATCCCGGCTCCCGGGGCCGATCCCAGTTTCTCCCCGGGCAGCCGAGTCTCGCGCGGCGTTGCCATGCCAACGGGAGGGGGCGTGGCCAACGCCAGCAGAGGGACGGGATCCCCGCCCACCTCCCCACCCCGGTTATAACAGCGCCCCCTGGCGGGCGCTGCCAGCACAACGCCGCCGCTCCGGCTCATCCCGCCGGGATCGGCGCCTTCCCTCCACGGGACAGCTTTCCTCACGGACACCGCGAAGGGTCAGCGCCTGCCCCCGTCCCGGGGCACACGGCCAGGAGGCTGCCGCGCTCCGGCCACCCCGATCAGCTCAAGGCACGAAGATGCCCGGCGGGGGTGTGTTCCCCGACCCACGAGCAGGGCTGTGCCCGCTGCAACGGCGCGGGCGCGCAGGTCTGCCCCCCATCCCCCTGGGCAGCGCCGTCCTGCGCGCCAGCCCCTGGGAACCACCAGCATCCCGAGGAGAGGCCGGGCTCGCCTGCAGCCACCCCCGCTCCAGCCCGGCGGGCTCCGGCCCTGGCCCCGACCCCGGCCTGGCGGGGCCGCGGCTGCTTCCGGCCCGCCCTTGGGGCTCGGCGGGGCCGCACTCGGCATCGTTCGGCTGGGTTCGGTTCCGCTCGGCTCCGTTCGGGTTCGCTCGGTTCCGTTCGGGCGCTGTCGGGGCGGTGTCACTCCGCCCCCGGCCGGCCCGGCGGGTCCGCCCCGGTGTGCGGGCCCCGTGTGGGCTTGGGGCTTCGGTGGGAGAGGGGCTGGGTTTACTGACAGTAACTGAAGTTCTGAAAGTGTTGAACTGAGGAGCTCTGGAGCCCTTGCGGTGGTGTACAGCAGTTCGCGGTGCCCCCGCGGCTGTGGGGGAGCCTCTAGCATAAACTGCGGGTTGGCAGCTGCCAGAGCCACGGCAGCACAGGTCAGGGCTGATGCCCTCAAAGGCTTTCGCAGAGTCTTGTAAACTGTGATAAACAAAGTCTCGAGTTTCTGTAAGTTTCGAATAAGAGTTTATTATATGGTAAAAGCAAGCAGCCGGCTGGGTGACAGAAATGGGTCCAGTTTCCCAAATCTGCACATCCTTACTACAGGGTACATTTAGAATTTATCTTAGCTACTTCATGCATATTAATTATATCATATACATATACATTCTACAGGTTTTTGCTAAGTATTTAATATATGGGTTTTCTTACAGCTAGAGCTAAAAGGGTTATCTCTACAACCGGTCATAATTCATGCATCTTTGGACGAACAGGCGCCTAAAGATTTAAAGTTCTACCATATTTTATTCTTAGGATAGTATGGAAGTTTTAGGCCTCTTGACCTTGTAAGGGTCTGTTTTATTTCTTTATGGGGGTGTAATTAAGTTTTACAATCCATTTGTTTTATTTTGATGTAATCACCCATTTGTTTCACGAATCACAATTATTTATATATCACATAAACTGTCGAGGTTAAATCTCTTTTCAGATGCTGGCAAACCATGCTGCCCTGGAATTCGATTAATTTGGGGGGAAGGGAGGACCAAGGATGTGCACTGGTCCTGTGTGGAGGAGAAGGGGTGGAGGAGGAGGGATGGAAGTAGGAGGAGAAGGAGGATTTCTTTGGGCTGAATCTTGGGCTTTTGGAGGTTTTTATGGACAGAAAATGCCTGGTGACTTCTAGAAATGGACTCGGGCAGGAGAAACCCCCAAGCCAATGCACTCACACCTTGTTTTTTTCCCCCAAGCCTCTTCATGCCTCTCTATGTGAACTGATTTGGTCTTGAATTTTTTCTTCTGTACAGGAGTGACTGCTACTGGCACGGGTTGCTAATTTGGTTCACCTGCAGCTTGAGTGGCCACGACACCTGTTGGTCTGTTTTCCTTCTCCCTCTGAGGGTGCTGTTTAGTATTGCACTGTGTCTGATAAATAGTAGCCAGGGTCCAGAGCACTGCACGAAGTTGCTCCTCTCTGGAACTGCCACAGCATTTCTCTTTCAAGGATTCTGCCGCTTTCTCAGGATCCTGTACTTAACACAGGTAAACTTCCAAACCACTGGAGCAGAACAGTCCTTCAAAAGCAGACCAATTTTCTCCAACATTCCATACCCCTCCTGGCTACTGCACAAATAACCCTGTCCTGAATGGAACCAAGAGAACCCATTCTGTAACAGCGTCTTTCCTAGCAGCCAGTTCTCCTGGTTCCCCTTTGGTCAGCCCACCCCGCCACTGCCGGCCACCCCCCCAAGCCTGATCCAAATGAGGATTCCTCCCAGGGAAAAGGTGCCAGCACAGAAAGCCCTGGCTGCCCACGGACTGCCCAGGCTGTGCCACACAC